AGTGAGTGAGTTGATTGTTCCTATTTATTGACAAGGTTTAAAAATGTAACTGGAGGAACCTTGTTGACTTTTTGCATGAGATAAAATGGATAAGCAAGCATGCATAGGGAGCACAAGTTTTTACCAAAAACAGCTAACGAAAGAAACATAATTTAAACTGACAATTAGAAAACAATAAAATTTCCAATATAAGGCAATGGTGCAGAAGCAGAACACTCTCATGTATTATCCAAATACTAATAAGAACTGTGATCAACAAACTGATACTTGGGTGAGTCGGTTTATACGAAGAAGCTATCTCACAAGGGAACTGCCTGAGATATTCGACCTCAACTTAGCACATTGACATAGAGAGGAATGGCGTTAATCAAAGAAAATAACATTGTCTTTCCGTGATTTGTGAAACTTTTGCCAAAGTTAAAAATGTGTCACCAAATGAGCAATTCATTATCAATCATAAACTAGTACTGGATGGTTATAGTAAATGTAACTAGAACCACATCTGTTTCGAACTAAAACAGAAACGTAGGCCTACAAATATCTCGTGGCATCGATATAAACTGCTGATTTCATCTCTCATATATAGGAAATCTTAGATATGAATTACATGCATATATAAGATATTTTAGCTAAGGAGGGCGATAAAGCTAGCACATATAACGCAAGAACATAGATAAATTCAGATGATAAATCAACACAAACAAGCAACTAAAAGATGAACTGGTTACTTTAAAAAAATTGCTGCATATACCTTGCAATTTGCAAAATATTGAAGCATTTCTCAAAGATCTATTCAATTGGTAAAGTATCATGTAAGAATAAACCCCATTGCTCCTAAATACTCACAAAATCAATCCCAATAATCCAAAAAACGCAAAAAATTAAAAATCATATCTTTCCTTAACCTCCACAATTTTTGATCCTCAACAATCTATGTTTTTTTCAGGGGAAAAAAAGTATTATTTAATCCTCCACGCTCTAATTTTGGCATCTTAAGCAGCCTTGTTATGAAATCGATTGGTCATTTTATAAAAATTTGATGCAAATACCTTGCAATTTGCAAAATTCCGAACCATTTCCCAAAGTTTTATTCAATTAAGAAAGCACCAAATCATAGTAAACCTAGATATTGAAGCATTTCTAGCCATGCAAACAACTTACGGGAGAGGAGAAGGGCGCACCATAATGTTTAGCATCATAGGAGGTTAGTTAGTGGACGAGGAAATCTAGGTCCTTATTCATCGGGGGTAATTAATTGCATACCAGAGCAAAAGCCTCAACATTCTCCTACTCTACAGATGATTCTATAAGAAAGGATAATCTACAAGGAGGGATAAGATGATCATTATTCTATATGCAATTGCATTTCAAGTCCAAGGCAACTTGCAGAGCCAAGGAGATGAGGGCAATGCTTGCACCTAAAAACTAAATCAATTAATAAAAGAAGATCCAGATTGAAAAACAAAAAACTTACAAGTGGCAACCCAGCATTCTTCTAAGCGGTGAAAACTACATATAGGAAATCTTAGATACGAATTACATGCATATATGAAAAATTTTAACTAAGGAGAGCGATAAAGCTACCCCAAATAACGCAAGAGCGTAGGATAAATGCAGATGATAAATCAACACAAACAAGCAACTAGAAGATGAAAGTAAAGATCAGTTTATATCACCAAAGCATCATGTTTTCTATTTAACACCAGGAACAGAAACTATCAATGGTTCTCTGCAGAAAAAAAGTAATATTTAATCCTGAAGGATCTAACTTTGGAACCTCAAGTAACCTTATGAAATAAACTGGTTACTAAAAAAATGATCCATATACCTTACAATTTGCAAAATATTGAAGCATTTCTAAAGGTCAATTCAATTGGTAAAGTATCATGTCAAGAGTAAACCCCATCGCTCCTAAATACTCACAAAATCAAATCCCACTAATCTAAAAACCGCAACAAAAGAGATCATATCTTTCCTTAACATCCACCAGTTTAATCCAAATTTTTTATCCTCGACGATCAATGTTTTTTCAGGGGGAAAAAGTATTATTTATTCCTGAACGCTCGAATTTTGGCACCTTGGGCAACCTAGTCATGAAATCAACTGGTCATTTTATCAAAGTAATGAATCATTTCTCAAAGTTCTATTCAATTCGGAAAGTACCATACCATAACTAAACCTAGATATTTCCCTAACCTCTACCTACTCAATCAAACTTTAGGGGAACCAACAAAATCCAAATTTAGGGCAACAAACCTATCAGCCATGGTAGCAATCGTCCGAAACGCCAAAATCAACGACCGATCAGAATTCGACCCCCGATTCTGCCAACGACCAAGCGACGAGGACAGAAAATCCCCCTGTGGCGCAGCCCAGTTCGGCTTCGATATCACCGTCCGAAAGCACCGCCGTCGGGTTAGAAGCGGGTTAGAGGCCCACCGATCAGCGAACCGGATCGTTACTCGCCGCGATTCATTCGCAAACGTCCTCCAATTCTGAGGTTTCGTCGATCCGAGTGGGCCTCGAGCACGTAGCCCGCACTCGGAGGCAGACGGTGTCGCCGGCGGAGTGCGTCGAAGACGACCTCCGTGCTCCGCTTGCAGTCAGGGCAGAACGCATCCGACATCGCCGACAGAAATTTCGGTTTTAGGTTTTCGGATCGTTTCGGTTTGCCGTATCGGGGTTTTTTTTTCACGCCGGTAGGAATTGATTAGGAGAGGGGATGCAAGTGAGGGTCTTATATAAAGAAGGTGGGCGCGCGGCGGGTTTCGCTCGGCTTCGCTGGTAAGCGGGGGTTGGATTTGTTGTTACGGTTTTTAATTACATAGGATCGTGGCTAAGTAATATAATTAAGAAGTGCGTGTTATATTTTTGTGGGGGGGGGCGGGGGGTGGCGGGGGGGGGGGGGGGGGGGGGTTTATTACTATGTATTAGGGGGGTGTAAATTGGCAAGAACGGTTACAAATTGGGACTTTTTGCATATATATGCTCCTCTATTATAATTTTTGCACACTTATGATGCAATCGTAAACATAAATATTACATGTGAAAAAAATGTTTTATTATACATGAATATTCACAAAAATAATCTCCAAATCTCAGTATTTATAGAACTATCCCTCAAATTATCAATTTTGGAAAAAATTACCCTCAAGAAATTAATTGTTAACTATAATAAATTAATTTATAATTGCAATGTAAAAATTATCAATAAAATAGTTAGCACCAAATTGATGGTTCGTTAATTTTAAGGGTATTTTTTTTCACAAAGTTGATGTTTTAAAGAAAGTTTTGCAAATACTTAAATTTGAGGGATATTTTTGTAGATTCCCATGATATAAGGAGCATGTATGCAAATAATCCAATTTATTGTGTAAGACTAGCTTCAAATTTGTTTATTGCGTAAGACTAGTACCAAATTCGTTGTTAGGGTACTCATACTTGTGTTGGGGAAAAATATTTCTGCAAATCTAGTATCCGGCTAGTTGCAAAAACTTTTGAATTTGCATACTGTATTGTACAATGGTGTTTTCGTTGCAAATTAAAGTAATTCATTTAGCTGGAATTGTAAAGTGATTTACTTTTTTTTTTTGTTGAGAAAATAGACGAGGCATCTGTCTGAAACCCTAGCCCTTTTATTACTTTATCAAAATGGGTTTACATCATTTAGATATGAGAGAACTAATGTAGTGATGTCATTATTATTTTATTAATCGTAAAAAATAGCAAAATTGATTGTAGCCAAGTTGATTGCAGGAAATGTTCTTTCTTGTGGTGTTAACTGCTTTTGATTGCATGCCGCGTTCCATTGTTAAGATCTCTGGATATTTACGCAAAAATATTGAACATCCGAAATTGCATTGGTTTGGAGTCTGTGCATTAAAATTTTTTTTCTTCATGTTCGTGGTCGTGTGAAGCCTATAATATGCAAATCTGTTTATGCAATTATTATATATTGGATGTTGAACGATAGGGTTGGGAGCGTGCAAATTTCTTGACGTTGCAGTTCGGAATTGATGCAATAATAAACAAAATATTAGGAATACTTCTCAATAATGTATTGCCAAATAAAAGAGTTTATGTCTCTATTAGGACCCGTTTATTTCCATGCATTATAGTGACTTTTGCATTAAAAAAGGGGACCCACATAAAATATAAGATTTTTATCATCAAATTCAATGTTTGTTCATCATTTTTAATGCCATGAATTTAGGGTTGTCATGTAGGATAAATGTATCAAATACGATTCCCTAAAATTATGCTGATTTCATCCAAATTTGTGATATTAGTCACATATTCTTAATAAAATGCACGTGCAACTAAACAAAGTTCGCTTGGATTTTTCTAAATCCATAGAGTGCATTAAAATACAATCCATGAACCAAACATTCCCTTAGACTATTATGGCCTGAAAATCTACCGGCTTAATTGCATTTCAATATCCAATAGTTCCCGCTACTTCGCATATCTTCACTTATTTTTTTTCCAGAATCCATATACCATAAATTCTTAAAACCAGTACTTACATATCCTCACTTATTTTAGCAGCGCTTATATATAGTAATGTTTTTAAAACTTGCACTTAAATACTTTTAGTTATGCAAACTTGAGGATATCAAGTGCAAGCTTGAAAAACTTCAACTTATTTAAGTGTCAATTTTAAAAACTTCATAGTATTCAAAATACAAGTTTTAAAAACTATAAGATATAAACTGCTGACAAGAAAACAAACAAAGGTATATAAGCAAAAGTTTTTAAAACTATAAAATGTAAAAAAGAAGCTGTATACTATTTTAGAAAATCACAAGGCCCGGCCCATGTCATTCTATCCTCAGCTCGTCCGAGAGATTCCCATCCCACAAAAATTAACCCAAAACCCTGGATCGCTCCAATTTTGTCAACGACAAACAAGCGAAGGGGAGCACGCAGAATCACTCTCCCCCTAATTCAAGTCAGCACAAAATCAGAGATGGGCGTCACGAAAGAAAACGTCGAATCGGCTCTCAATTCTGCCCTCAGCCCTTCCCATCTCGTTAGCCCCGCACTCCCCGGTTCCCTAATCTCAGTTTATTTCTATAAATTTAACTAAACCCTAACCCTAATTTTTTTTAATTGTTTTTTCTATTTTCCAGCAAGTGATCGATACATCCGGAGGGTAAATCTAAAACGATCCACATCATCATCTTCCTCTTTTAATTTTAAAATCAGTAAAATTCCTCGTTTTTAAAAAGTTTTTCTTGCTTATTTGGCGATTTAGGTGTGGGGCGAGCTTTGAGATTGAAGTGGTGTCGGAGAAGTTCGAGGGGAAGAGGTTGCTGGAGAGGCACAGGATAGTGAACGCTGCGCTTGCGGAGCAGATGAAAGAGATACATGCGCTGTCCATTAAGAAAGCGCAGACTCCTTCGCAGTGGAATCCACAGCCGGCCCAGGCTTAGACCTCGGTTTGTGTTATTTGATTACTGCTACCCTTTGATACGATTCAATTGCAAGTCATAAGCCCTTTGGGAATTGTTGCATGTTTATTATGCGTGATACATCTTAAAAGTTTGTGACCAACTACTGAGTAATTATTATTTTTTTGCCCCACTTGAAAAAAGAATTCCTTGCATCTTATGCTGGAATAGTCGTACTGGCATAGATTACAAAGACTTGTAATATACTCCTTGCATTGTGATGGGTGGTTACTAATAGTGTTGTTCTAATGCTTACAAATTGGATAACATGAATAAGAGCCTGTTTGGTTCACATCCTCACAAAAGAAACAAAAAAGGAAATAGAAATTAACCCTGGAAATCTATTTCAGTGCGTTTCTGCGTATTTTCCTAGAAGTAGATTTTTTTTCCCTGTTTGTTTCGCATGGAAATCATATGGTGTAGTAGTATTTCTTCATTTTCTCTTTTTTTGTTCAAAAGTTTAAAAACAAGAAATCGGACAGTATCTTTTGATTTCCTCAAATTTCTTTGTTTGATAGGCAAATAATAGATAATGGGAAATGTTGTAAACCCTTAATCCTTTTCTCCAATTTCCTCCATTGATATTGTCACCCAATATTTAATGCGAAAAAAAATTAAATTTCCAGCCAGTTTAAGAGGTTTGAGCTCTGTTCTTGAAAGATCTATGTGGCAGGTGTTTTCTACCCCCTATTTCCCAAAAACCAAGGACGAAACAGACAAGAAAAAGAAATGTATCAACTTCAAAACCCAACATGGTTCAACACCAATTTCCTAAAACTTTGATTTCCATGGTTTTTTTATGAACCAAACAGGCCCGATTGAACTAAGGGATGAATTGATTGAATGAACATCTAAAGACAGGAGGAAAGGATTACTTATAGATGCCTACCTGAATGGTTATGTTCATAAAAGCGGTACTCGTTCACTTTAAGTGCTTTCATGAGAGTGGTCCTCGAAATAAGTTTGTGAGAGTTACATAGAAAGTCACTAATGATGGTTCATACCACTCGTCTTGATCCACACATTTCGAGGGGTATAATAAAGGGTGATTAAGTGGTTTAATTATTCTTCGTCACGAGTAGTGATTGCATAGTAATCATTACTTTAAATATTTGTAAAGAGATACTGTTGATTCATCAAAGCATTTTAAAAAGGAAGAAGTAATGGAGGCCCGTGTTGCGAGGGAAAGGGAGGATTATGAACATAGGTGATTTTAGGTGTGAAGAATGAGGAAGTTGAAGAAATTGAAGATGAGCGAGAATGGCCTTGAGGTGGCTTGGACACCGCGACAGGAGAAGGATCATTGTGTTACACAGGAGTGACACAATTGTAGCTGGAGGAGTGCCTTTCGATAGACCAAATGTGCATTGTTAAGGCAGTTAAAAGAAAACAATGCTTATTTAGCTGAAATTTCACTTAAGAAGAAGATAGACCAAATGTACATGGATTTAGGCAATTAAAAATGGAAGAAAATAATAAGGAAATTGTGGAGCAGGAACTTCCCTATAAAAAGAAAACTGGAGAAAATGGATTCATGTACCGAACCCCAAAGATCTGGATTTTAGACTTTGTTTCTGTTGTTCTACATGGACCAAACATTAAATGCTTCTGTGCTTGTTCTTATTAGCTACTAACAATAGCGGAATAATTTTAGGGCTAATTTTAAGAAATTCCATAAAATTTTCATTGTTTTGCCCCAAAAACTACCATGGACATACTAGAAAACAATGTGTGTAGTAGCAGGAACTCTAATAGCAGCTAGTTGCTTGAAATAAATAAGCTTCATGAGTATTCCAAGAAAATAGTGAAAGTTCAATTAGAAAAATCAACTCATCGTCTATTCTAGCATGGATAAAAGAGAGGATAGTAGAATAAATTTTATTGAAATTCTCTGTTTATCATCCATTGCTGCCTGTGAACTAAATCATGCTGAGCGACATAAGTAGTAGGGCTTTTAATCTGCTTGTTTGTTGTGATTTTGTTGATAGAGCTACATTTAGAAGTTTCTTTTACTGTGTTATAATTGGATTGCAAACTTGTTGCTCGTCTTGTTGCTCAATCTTTGTGTTGATGGAATCTCTCTGGAATAATCAGGTTATACAGTGACTGCTTCACTGCTACTGTGACTAATATTGCATGTTTAAGTTTTAGCTTTTCTACTGATGATTTTTGTGCCGAGTTACCTCCTAGCGCAAAGAAAATTGGAAGAGAAGAAGCCAATAATGTGTGTGCATGTGTGTGTCCTTTTTTCATTTTCATTTTCCTAGTGGAAAAAGAGAGTTTCACGTTCATTTCCTTCTCTTCCATGTACTGATCATGATTAACTTGTTTCACACTCTCCATCTTATGTTCCTCGCAACAGTACATAGCCGCAATATTTTTCTGTGGTATTTTCTTTACCTTTTAAGCGATAAATCCTTATTATGTTGAAGATTCAGCGTTTATTTCCATCAACCCAACTTGATATAACCGACTTTTTGACTCGCTTGGCTACCCTGTGTTGTGCGTTCCAAACAATCATATATTGCCCCCAGGTTTGTGTGCATTTATGTGGTGTGGTCTTTTGGCCTCACTCTTGCATGTTTCTTGATCTACTTTGCAACATGGACTTCGGCTTTGATATAAAATCAGCTCGATGCGGATGGTATGACGCTTTCCTTCGCATGTGGAAAGTCACGAGCACATCGCATGCTGATCGCTCGGAGATGCGTGGTTGTGATTTTGTGGAAGCTTGGTTGTGATCCCTATGCATAGCACGAGTGTCCTTGACAAATACCGACAATGAATTGGGAAGCACAGAAATAAATAGACGTCTTGTCTGCTTTGTCTTGTGCTGGATTGGATTACCATGATGCTATTTATGAAATGCTTTCGTTGGTATTTACAGAATGGTGTATGTTGACTGGGGTTAGTCTTGGTGCTAAGTCTTAACTCTAACTAATCTCCCTATTAAATACGCAAAAATCAGGAGGTGAGGAGGGTACGGGTCTCCTCTTAAACATTGCTACCCGTACTCACTCGGTCGTCTATTGGATTCATATAAAGGGCTGATGGAGAATTTGTGTTGCGTATGATAATAGGAGTTAGTTAAGGGCTTGTTTGGATTGAGGGGAATGAGGGTGAAGGGAAGTTAGGGGAATCATTCACTTCCATTCACCTTGTTTGGGAACACTTAGGAGGTGAAGTTAATTCACCCTAGTTCTCTTTGGTTCACCCCCTAATAGTATAAAATTTGTTACCCCCCAAATTGGGGTGTAACCAAGGGGAAGGAAACTCCCTTCTCTTCCCTTCCATTCTCTCAGTTTCCCTTAACTTCCCTTCACCCCCTACAAATCCAAACAGGCCCTAATGTAAGACTAGTAACTCCTAGCAGAGGCGCATGAAAATGATAGAGCGGAGATTTATGTAGATAACCCTCCACCTTTGAAGCACGTGAAATTAGTTTTAGTCTTTTATGACGTGAGCTGTCATCTTGATTCATAGAGTTCATCACTCTTCTATGACAAACACAAACAGAGGGGCCCACCTTCACGCATTAGTTGTTGCTCCGCTTGCAAAAGTCATGGTCTACCTTCTTGTATGCATAATTTTTGCTGGTACTTGGATAGTATTTTCTAGCTTTTCTGCTCACTGCCAGCGCTAATGATATTATCGATGCTGCTTTCTCTTAGATTATTATTCGATGATAAATGTCATGATCAAATTGGATATAGGAGGAAGTTGATGAACTCTCTCGAAGAGTTCATTGCTATAATTTTTACAAATTCGCTGATGCAAAAGTTCAACTTGTTCTTTTCAATATATGAGCTCATTTCTGGTTTCGCCTAGTTTTTATTCGGGGTGTAAGTGGTTTTTTGTAAAATTTAGGTATGCATAGACATACTTTATGATGGCTTGTTTGAGTTATACAAAGTCGATCATCTGTGAAAAAAAAATATTTCTCAATTATTTAAAACTTATTCAAAAAAGGCAATACTTAAAAGTGGGGATATTTTATTCATGAATATTACGTTTCCAACATTCGAATCACTTTTCAATTGCTTTGGGAATCTCTTTTTACCAATTATGATTTCCATTGGTTAGTTTAGAATTATGGCTATGTGCTAAATATTTGATATGACATCGAAGTTAATTAAGTTACTTAGACTTGCGATTGTTGCTCAAGTTGTTATAATAGGCACAATTTTTAGTGTTCTATGCCACTTCGCCATGACCACCGGCGTTCCTTGGCGGAGGTGCAATGCTCGGAGCTGTTATCGATGGAGTGAGCCTCAAACACGATGGTGGGCTTTGGAGCAAACAGACTGTGTCACCAGTGGAGTTGTGAAAAACTCTCTCTATGCTCCCCTTGTAGTCAGGGGCAGGATGCACCCAACGTCCGTCTCCGTCCATTTGCACCGATACTTCGGCTCTCGTTGGACTATTGAATGAGCGTCTGTCGAATGAATATATACTCTTTTTTAGAAAAAGTCCAAAGAAAAGGAGTTCGAATTTTTCTTGACAAAAAATTGAAATTATTTGTACATGTTGTGACAGGGAATTGAGGAGCAGGACATGACATTTTTCCCTTTTTTTCCGAAACGAAAAACACTACATATTTGAGAACCGGGGTGGTTTATGAGCTGAAACATCTAAAAGCAGAGAACGAAACGTGCTTACTTCGAAACACGTTTTAGGTGTTTTGAACTGGGAATGTTAATTCATTAACTATACAATTTTTATATTTTTAGCATAATTAATATAGCATATTAGTAATATGCTTAATACAATATAGTATACTATAATAAATATAACATAATATATTATAATATGATATATTGTATTTTTATAATCAAATATAATATATGAACAATGCGTCTAATACTATTAATTATGAGTTTATATTATAATACATTAATGCAATGAGGAAATTGGCTATAGTTGATGGTCCATTTTGCAAAACGGGCTGTCAACCCATTGCCATGTGAGCTGCAGAGAAGCAATGGGACTCACATGGCATAAGCTTGGCAGCCCAGTTTATAAAATGGGCCGTCAACTTATACACATTTTCTCCTAATACAATATGTTTTCTTTTTTGTTGAGAAAATCACCTTTAAAATAGGTCATTCAATAGTAACCATATTT